GAAACATGGATACCAAGCCACTACTAGAAGTATGACAGCTATGTGGAGCTAATAATCCCTGTAGAAAACTGCACTGGAGTCCCTACTCTCACAGCGGTACAAGGGCTAGCTCAGATACACGCGGGAGTCCTGGGAGTTTACACCGCTAGGGGAGTCCTGGGAGTTTACACCACCATAGGAATCCCGCCACGAGAGTCCTAAGAGCCTACATCGCCACAGGAGTCCCAAGAGCTTACACCACCACGGGAGTCTCAAGAGCCTGCACTGCCACGGGAGTCCCAAGAGTCTACACCGCCACAAAAATATTGGGAGAAAGTGTCATGCGCCCCAGCGCTCACCTACTCAGTGCATAATGCCTCCACCCACTATGAGGCAAGACTAGACCTTATCTCGACAAAGCCCGAAGTCTTGGAGACAACTCCATGGACCTCGGGAGACCACACTCCGAGACTAGAGGTGTCCGACTCCTTTGTGCCTACTCCACGCGAGCCCTCTGCACCCTCGTTACCAGGACTAGTGTTGATCAGCCCTCATGGCACTCCACTCAAGTACACCGTCTCCCTCCGCTTTGCAATATCCAACAATCAAGCTGAATATAAGGCCCCTATATCAGGCTTGAAGCTCGCATTGGAGATGGAGGTCCACTGTCTGACAGCCTACAGTGACTCACAGTTGACCAGGTAAAGGGAGATTTTGAAGCAAAAGAGGAAACGATGCAAGAGTACCCATCAGTAGTTCAAGTATTGTTAAAAAGATTTACTTACTTCCAAATTCACCATGTGCTCCAAGAGGAGAACGTCATGGCAGACGCCCTCGCCAAATTCACGTCTGCCAACATAATCATGGGTCCAACACCGACAGGCCCCAGTTGAGAAGCACTGAGGGCTTCAGACTTCGCCATCTCAGAAAGAGGGGAAGAAACCACCCTAGAAGTATAGAGAGCCTCCACCATCACCCTATCAATAGAAATATCTACAAACTTGGTGTGAGGCAAAAAACTTACAACGCTAAAACCATCAAGAATCTATGGGAAGGATCAAATACCTTTCCTCTTTGGCCAATAAGAAACCTTGGGATGACCTGAGGCGGATATAATCTCCAAGAATTCTTTGAAATGATTGTCATGAACTATCTGGAGCTTACTNAATGAGAAACCTTGGGATGACCTGAGGCGGATATAATCTCCAAGAATTCTTTGAAATGATTGTCATGAAGTATCTGGAGCTTAATCTCCTACTCCGTAGATAATGTGGGTAAAACTACATAGAAACCATTCACATAGTGATTATCAAGTCAAGAGAACGAGCTCTCAAGGTGCGAACGGAGCAAGAGATTGAAGAAGCTACCACCGTACGGGACAAGGAACCTTTTTTAGATAATGAAGCTACCATCGTGCAGAACAAAAAACCCTCATCTATTCAAAGACTCTTATGCTCTCAACATCTTAACACCTCAAGGGTTTGGGGCATAGGGGACAAATGACGAGCCCAAATTCAACTCGATCAGGCCCCAATAAATCAAGTAAGCCCAAATCAACTAAAAAATAGATCAAACTCAGTTCGTAAATTTGACCCAGCCCAAGGTCTAAGGAATCCAAGAATAATTAGAGCACGTAGGGAACAATTATCGGGATACTCACTTTCAAAAATCAAGACAACCACTTATGCCACTTACCTATTGTAGCTGCTTGAAAAATTAGTACATTTACCCCTCACGTCACCGCCTTAACCAAAGTTTTGTGCCTATAAATTATAAACTCTCTCTACATGAGAGGATACCTCTTGATCTATCTCTACATCTCTCTATACACCCTACACACAGCTTTTCTCTCTCCTAGCTATTGTATCCCTCCTAAAGTTAACCATTGCTCTCTCTCTCTTGTNAAATTAAAATTTAAAAATTATTTTTTCAAAACATTGGTCAAAATATCTTGAAATATCTTGAAATATTCTGAAATAATTGTGCAAATGTATTGAAATATAATAAAATATTTTAAAATATTATGGAACACCTCGTAGTATTAAAATTTCGATTTCATTACTGATTCGTTTCGGTCTCCTTGAAAACGAAAACGTTTCGAATGTTTCGACCATTTCAAAACAATATTTTGATCCTTGACCGTGAAAAACCCCTCTATCACAATATTGATAATGCCCTCTGGACCTTGAGATCCAACCTCTCTGATATCCCCAGGAGTCACAGACTTCCGAAGTTGCTCCTTGCCCAAATTCATGTTGAAACATGGATACCAAGCCACTACTAGAAGTATGGCAGCTATGTGGAGCTAATAATCCCTGTAGAAAACTGCACTGGAGTCCCAACTCTCACAGCGGTACAAGGGCTAGCTCAGATACACGCGGGAGTCCTGGGAGTTTACACCGCTAGGGGAGTCCTGGGAGTTTACACCACCATAGGAATCCCGCCACGAGAGTCCTAAGAGCCTACATCGCCACAGGAGTCCCAAGAGCTTACACCGCCACGGGAGTCTCAAGAGCCTGCACCGCCACGGGAGTCCCAAGAGTCTACACCGCCACAAAAATATTGGGAGAAAGTGTCATGCGCCCCAGCGCTCACCTACTCAGTGCATAATGCCTCTACCCACTATGAGGCAAGACTAGACCTTATCCCGACAAAGCCCGAAGTCTTGGAGACAACTCCATGGACCTCGAGAGACCACACTCCGAGACTAGAGGTGTCCGACTCCTTTGTGCCTACTCCACGCGAGCCCTCTGCACCCTCGTTACCAGGACTAGTGTTGATCAGCCCTCATGGCACTCCACTCAAGTACACCGTCTCCCTCCGCTTTGCAATATCTAACAATCAAGCTGAATATAAGGCCCCTATATCAGGCTTGAAGCTCGCATTGGAGATGGAGGTCCACTGTCTGACAGCCTATAGTGACTCACAGTTGACCAGGTAAAGGGAGATTTTGAAGCAAAAGAGGAAATGATGCAAGAGTACCCATCAGTAGTTCAAGTATTGTTAAAAAGATTTACTTACTTCCAAATTCACCATGTGCTCCAAGAGGAGAACGTCATGGCAGACGCCCTCGCCAAATTCACGTCTGCCAACATAATCATGGGTCCAACACCAACAGGCCCCAGTTGAGAAGCACTGAGGGCTTCAGACTTCGCCATCTCAGAAAGAGGGGAAGAAACCACCCTAGAAGTATAGAGAGCCTCTACCATCACCCTATCAATAGAAATATCTACAAACTTGGTGTGAGGCAAAAATCTTACAATGCTAAAACCATCAAGAATCTATGGGAAGGATCAAATACCTTTCCTCTTTGGCCAATGAGAAACCTTGGGATGACCTGAGGCGGATATAATCTCCAAGAATTCTTTGAAATGATTGTCATGAAGTATCTGGAGCTTAATCTCCTACTCCGTAGATAATGTGGGTAAAACTACATAGAAACCATTCACATAGTGATTATCAAGTCAAGAGAACGAGCTCTCAAGGTGCGAACGGAGCAAGAGATTGAAGAAGCTACCACCGCACAGGACAAGGAACCTTTTTTAGATAATGAAGCTACCACCGTGCAGAACAAAAAACCCTCATCTATTCAAAGACTCTTATGCTCTCAACATTTTACCACCTCAAAGGTTTGGGGCATGGGGGACAAATGACGAGCCCAAATTCAACTAGATCAGGCCCCAATAAATCAAGTAAGCCCAAATCAACTAAAAAATAGATCAAACTCAGTTCGTAAATTTGACCCAGCCCAAGGTCTAAGGAATCCAAGAATAATTAGAGCACGTAGGAAACAATTATCGGGATACTCACTTTCAAAAATCAAGACAACCACTTATGCCACTTACCTATTGTAGCTGCCTGAAAAATTAGTACATTTACCCCTCACGTCACCGCCTTAACAAAAGTTTTGTGCATATAAATTATAAACTCTCTCTACATGAGAGGATACCTCTTGATCTATCTCTACATCTCTCTATACACCCTACACATAGCTTTTCTCTCTCCTAGCTATTGTATCCCTCCTAAAGTTAACCATTGCTCTCTCTCTCTTATTCACCTTACTTTATCTAAAACAGTCCCTCGGCCATCGTTGACATTTTCTGGAGTGGAATAGGTGGACTGAACCACTATATATCAGTGTGTTGACCCGATATTTATATTATTGTCATTGATTGCTCTATTAATTGTCCATTAATTACACTTTATCACATACTCGACTGTTAATCTTGCATAAGTCTGTTTTGTGCATCATCAATAATAATTATGCCATTTTTGGGTGAGAGAATAACCAACAAAAACACATCAGAAAGCTTTAAGATCAAGTTTCTCTTCTGAATTTTTGTAGCATCATTAGCACAATTGGCCTAAAAACTCTGATAGTGGTCAAGCTCTTGCCACATGGTAGTCAACACTGCATAATATACTGTAAGAGTCTTATCCTTCTGGTTAGTCTCCCGAACTTACTTCTAAAGATCAGACGTCTTAACATCATTACCCTTCTAAGAATATTTATATTTCACAGCTATCTAAATCTTATGACATGAATCAAGCAACAAAAACCACGACTAATTGAGGGTTACATTGAATTAAGTAACCATGACATCACTAAAGCATTTTCACATGTTCACTACTTCAATGGGGAACCAGTCTTCGTGGGTTTCTTAGTCCCCCCAATCAAATATCCATCCAAAGAGATAATCTGGAGTGATAACAAACAAGCTCGTGATCACGCCAAATAATTGTATCCATCCAATTTCTCTTGACTAATTATTTGATGAGATGGATTATTTGAGAAGCACCAAAACAACTCAACCGAGTACCTCTCATACTTCCTCCAAGAGTAGTAGAAGGTTGCACTCTCTTTCGACATGTCCACACAATGGAATCAACAAAAAAATCAAACAATCACGAGAAAGCACAACCAAACAATTAGTTCGTAACCAGAATAATGCTTGTCGGAGCAGACAAGGGCCAACATTAGCCAAAAATGGCTGTCAGCAGAGATCATAAGCCAAAAAAATTCACAAATCTTCACAAATCCATTCCAAAGTGCAACAAAGATCAGGAAGATCTAAACCAGAAACAAGCCTCAAAATACTCAGAGAAGCTAGATCTGAGGTCGAAGAACCCCCAATCACTTTGGCTGAGACCCAAAAAAAACCAAATATTATCTCAAAACCCAACGAACTTAACAAAATTGCATGGGTGATGTAGATCAGCCCTAGTCACACCTTACAAAGTGAGATCGAAGCAGAAAAGAAAACCAATCACAATCACCCAGAAATCACAAATCTGGTTTTAAACTTAAAAAGGGCCAAAAAAATCTTCAAAAATTCTAAAGCTCCTACAGATGATTTCAAAAAATTCTAAGAAAATCACCATAAAATTTAGTGCATCCAATTGATCAACCCAAGAAAAAAATTAGTACTATTCATGCTGGCGTCAACACTTTAACAAAAATTGCGTAAGTCACTCTATTCAGATCCAATAATTTCTGATGATTTCTGACAACTTTGAGGATTCAAATTAGGATCATTGCTCTAATACAAAGTTAAATTGTGAAGTAATTATGGTTAGGGAAGAGAAGAGAAGACCAGGAAAAAAAGAGAATATAGTAGCGTGTTATGATTGCACAACTACATCCCAATTTATATAAAATCATCAAATAACAAAAATATCCTTAAGCTAGAAATACATCTTAATATAACATAACAGATATCAAACTAACACATGGTAAAACCTTTTACCAAATTTATGCATAACAAAACATATGGTTTGGGGCAAAAGATGTATTACCTTTGTTAGCAACTGCTGCCAGAGAAGCCAAGCGACCACAAGCAGCCGCCTTTGCACCAGAAGTTTGTCCACTTGAGTCAGCAAGCAGTATGACACCCCCAGTAGATAGACCCTGAATGAAAACATTTTTTCTTAACAATTTAACAATTAAAATCAAGGTAAATCAGAAATTGGCTGACAGCCAGACAAGATAGCATTGAGGACATTAAAACCAACAAATAAACAATTGTTACTTGATTTGACGAGAAAGTTATCACATTGGATGAGGAAGAACTATTTTCTGATAGGGTTCCAACTGTAGCAGGACCCCTACTTGAAATATTCGTCCCTGGAAAATCATCATTGGTATTGTCCGACGAAGATGGAATTATATTAACGCCTGCTGAGGATGCTTCTAATCTGAAAAATCCAAGATGGAAAACACACGGACAAAGCCGAAAGAGAATAGTGAGGTATTGGACTGCATGATTCACAATTACCCATCACTAGTAACTGAACTCCGTAACTAAATGAATAAGAATAACTGATTCTGGATGGAAACATGTCCAAAATGATAACCTCACAGATTTTCCAGTGAGTTTCTTCATGTCAGAAACTTTATCATCATCTTCACAAGTCAGAAATACAACCTTCTCCTGCATATTACGAGTACATTTAATACATTCCAGTTCCATAATAGATCGAAAATGACATTGAGAGAATAAGACTTGCTTGCCGGGCCCTAACACCCAGATGAGATAAATGAGGCAGCTCCTGCAGAAGTACAATTCCAACTATATTATTCCCAGCAGCTGTAACCTGCCAAGGCATCAAATGAGAGAATCATTCTCCATTGCTGCTATGTATTCAAGGTCCAACAATTAACAAGATATTCATAGTGTAACAATATTCAATATAAAACTTCTAGAGAGAGAATAATTATACAGAACCTCTTCGTCTCCATCGGCTTTGCTGACCACAAGAATAACAGGTCCTGTTACAGATGAAGGTAGTGTCCCAGGGACAATGCTGTCCACCTGCAATGCAATCAAATCAGAGCGAAGGAAGCCCAGTATGAGGTGAACTTCGAATAGGAAAGGCAACTAACACGTGTAATTGACAGCATTGCAACAAAATTATAGGTCCAACAGCAGTTTCAAATTTCTAAGACACTATGATATCGTACATTATGTCAAGTATCTCAAAACTAAATGGTGATGATTTTACATAAGAAGATGTCTCATGTATGTTGCAGTTGACAGAACAGGAAAGAAAATAAGAACCAAGGAAATTGTTTTAAGAAGGAAGGTAAAGAAAAGGGGTTTGGGTGGGCATGCAGAGACAAGGACAAAGACTATTATGTCGATGTGGATATAAGGCCACCTATGCTCTTTCAGAGACAATATTTAGCTCAAGCCAGATATTGTTCACAAGATCAGGCTAGAAACAAGATGTCAAGATAGATGAGCAGCAAAAGAAGGAAAGATCAACATAATTATCGAAGCATTCACAAACAATAATCAAACTACCTCCAAAAATAAATCAAAAAAAATATATAATCAGCTGAAATTGCAATCTGCTGGCAACGACGAGCAATGACAGTCCCATGAAGAATACATCAGTTCAATTTACCAGAATAAATAGATGACAGGCAGATCAAAACTTAGGTGACCAGGTTCTGCTAAAGGGAGTGTGCGGGGTATGGCGGGTAGTCTGGACACCATAACTATTATATAAGACTAGCCTAAGAGATTCAGTTTCTCTCTCATAGCAGACGTCATCTATTCCATGTTCTCTCATTTCTCTTTTCTCTCCACCCCATTGTTTTTCCAGGTATGCAGAAAGGTACAGATGTGATGGGAAATGATTTCTGAAGATGGTATGGTAATCAATATAACTGAAAAATAAGTATTAAGTCAATTATTACTAGTACTTTCATCTTTGTTGGCAATGAACGAACATATACCATCACATCAACACAGTTAAATTGTAAACTTGTAATTGAGGGTTAACAAGAGAGAGTAACAAAGAGAAATAGAAAAGACAGATTGGGAGAAATAATGTATGTAGGCTACGTTGCCCTACACTCCTATTTATACTAAACTTGATATTATGAGAATTACAATCCTACCCTTCATTACTAAAAATGTAATAACTTTAACGCTCCCCCTCAAGCTGGAGCATAAAGATCAAAGATGTCCAATTTGGAGCAAAGATTATCAAAGATAGATCGAGTCAATGGTTTGGTAAGGATATCACCCAGCTACTCACTAAATTTGATGTATGGAGTTACAATCTCCTTACGAATTAAAAGATCTCGAATAAAATGACAGTCCACTTCACTGTGTTTTGTCCTCTTATGAAATACTAGATTACTAACAATAAAAATAGTTGTTTGGTTGTCACAATGCATCTCCATAGGACAGGGCACATCGATACCCATATCGTAAAGGAGAGAACAAACCCACAATATCTCACACGCAGTATGTACCATAGCCCGACATTTAGCCTCTGCACTCAAACAGGCAACCACATTCTATTTTTTGCTGCGCCGAGTAACAAGATTATCACCAATAAATGTACAATAACTTGAGGTAGATCGTCTATCGGTACGATTACCTACTTAGTCTGCATCAAAGACACCAACAACAATCATAAAGGATGAAGGACAATATAATAATCCTTTACCTGATGTTCCTTTCAGATACCAAAAATATGATAGACAGCCTCCTAATGAGACTTACAAGGAGTGTGTATAAACTAACTAACCACCCCAAAATCATAGGTAATATCAAGGAGTGTAACTGTAAAATAAATCAATTTATCAACTAACCTCTAATAGCGCCCTATATCATCGAAAACTTTACCACTCTCAGCATCTAACTTAACTGTAGAGTCCATAGGAGTATCAGCTGGAAGTGCACCAAGAGTCTCAATCTCAGATAATAAATCCAATACATATTTTCGTTGGCACAAACTAATACCTTCTTTTGACCGAGTAACCTCGATCTCAATAAAGTATCGAAAACTACCTAAATCTTTGGTATGAAACTGCTTTCCTAGATGGACCTAGAAGTAGGCAATATCATTTGAGTCATCATTGTTAATAATAATGTCATCAACATACACAATAAGAATAATAACACCTGTGGAAGAGTGGCGAATAAAAACTGATTGGTCTGAAGTAGAACACTGAAAACCATGCTGAAGTACAACAGTACTAAACTTATCAAACCAAACACGTGGTGATTGTTTCAGGCCATAGAGTATTTTCTTCAGACGACACACTAACTGTTTCTTATTAGATACAACATAACCTAGAGATGGTAGCACATATACCTCCTTCTGTAGATCTCCACGTAAAAAAGTATTCTTGATGTCCAGTTGATACAAAGATCAATCACAACTCACTGACGGACAACTTGAGAAAAAATCTCACAATAATCCACACCATATGTCTGGGTGTAACCTTTAGCACCCAAACGGACTTTCAAACGCTCAACTGAACCATCAGGATAATATGTCACTATGTAGCCCAACGACAATTGACAGGCGGTTTACCAGAAGGAAGAGTAGTAAGATTCCATGTCTGATTC